TTCACCATGTTGACCAGGATGGTCTTGATCTCTTGACCTCGTGATCCACCCGCCTCGGCCTCCCAAAGTGCTGGGATTACAGGCTCGAGCCACCGCGCCCGGCCTAAACTATATAATTTTTAACAGTTTACCAAGCATCCCTTATAACAGCCTTGTGTAAAGGAGTTTATTAACTTCATTTTACTGATGGGAAACTAAGCTTCTAAGAGATTAGGTAAATTGTTCAAGGTCTAGAGTTAATGAGTAGCGAGGCTGGGATTCAAATCTGGTCCTCCTGAGGTTCTAAGTGCTATGCTCTTCCTATGCCACATTATCTAACCATGTGACTACACCTCAGTAATTCATCACCTTGAGCCTTTGTGCCACTGTCTTTTAAACAGGGAGGAAAACATGGAGAATAATTACATCAATTCCACGGTCCTTTCCAACTCACACATTTCTATGCCTATAATTTGAGGGACTTTGGAATTTGAGTCGTGTTCATGGAGTTTAATCTCATTACTCAGAGCGTCGATCATGAATTTACATTAATTTGGCTGGTGATTTTGTCTTCATGCAGTCTTTTCTCCTGGTTTCCTAGGTCCTTCAATACATAGCTTGGAGAAACAGCCCTATTGCGTACTTCTTACCTCAGTGTAACCCATGCTGGCTGCAGCAATGAGGGCCTGTTGGATGGCATGGCTCTTCTTAAACACTCCTTGCTGCTGGCCGGCCATTGTCCAGTCACACTGAATCAAAAACTTGACAACCTCCAGATGACCTCGGAGTGCAGCATGAACCAAAGCACATTGCCCGTTCTTATCCAAATGATCCACCTAGAAGGAGAGGACAGGAAATCTGTGTGAACACAGACTTGTGGCTGAACTCACAATCTAGACACATCCACCCATTGCACAAGTGTAGACTACTAAGAATCATCATTTCCACTCTCTGAGCAAATTCAGGAGACTCTGCTCAGCCTAGATCATAACTGAGCTACAACTATGCTAAATGTCCCTCTGGGAAGAACTTCTTTTCCTCAAAAAAGATCAAACTCGTTTTCACATTCAAAGAAAAACAAAAACCAGAACTCTCAGCTTGAACTTTGTCTTCCTGAGGTAAATCCTTCTTTGTTTCCTCAAATAGTTCTTTTTAGACCAAGATTTGAGAAACTTGTAGCTCTGCTGGCATAAAAAAAAATTATCTCTGAAATCAACAAAGGGAAGAAAAACATTATGAAGCTACAATTTTTTGTTCTTCCAAAGAAGCAAAATGTCTCATATCATGAATTGTCTGACCACCAAGCTTTGGCAAAGTCTGCTTCTCTCTTCCAGCAGGAAGGAAGAATCGTAAAGATCTGCCCCAAATGTCTAGAGGCACTTTTGGCTTATTGCTAGACTAAGCATCAATAGAGTCTTTATAATTTCAGTGTTCGTTACAAGTTTAGGCTGAAAGAAGACCCTGATCAAGATCGATTTACCAGAAGGGCCTTCATTTCAGTAGATGAGTAGCCTTTCATGAGATCAGTAGCCTTTCATGAGATGAGTAGCCTTTTCTGGTAGGCAAGTAGTACTTGCCTGGTAGTTAGATCAGTTGAAAATGTAAGTTCTGTTTCTGGCTTTCCCACTGACTTCAGTTCCACCCAGCCATCCACATAGTGAATATTTACTGAATACAGAGTATGTGCAAAGTACCATTTAGGTGAATAAGACAGTAATATACAGGTACTGCTCTCAAGGACTCTCCAACAAGGTAGGGGAGCTGTGACCAATGTGACAAGAGCCTGCCCAACACAGGAGTATACAATAAATTTAAAAGTAAAAGTGAAATAACATTTCAGAGGATGGAAAAATTAATTCCTGGCTAGCATCAGAAACAGATTCAGATAGAAAGGTATATCTTGACTGGCTGAGATGGAAAATGATTTGTGTATTCTAGTTTTTGTAAAGGTAGGACACATGAAAGGGAAGTTTAAACTCTAAGGTTGAAAAGGTCTTTTGGGACAGAGCGTGGATATTTTTGAATTCCAGGGTAAGTGGTCTGAATTTTAACCAGTAGGTAGTGGAGTCATTGAGTGTTTTCATGCTCAGAACTGTATTTTCAAAAACTAAGGGAATGGATAAAAGAAACCATGGCTCCTTGGTTGATTCCAGGACTGGGATAACAGATGAGATTAGAACATCTTGTGGTGTCAGAAAGTGCTCAAAAAATAATAGAGGGAAGTTGAAAGGACACAGGAATCAATTTGAAGGAGTTCCCAATGGTCAAAACATCTGGGGCAACGTGAACAATGAAATGAATAATAATGGTAATGGATTTCAGGCTGTAGAATAAATATCCACAACTTCACAGTAATATAAATAAATACTTGAATAAATACATGGGGGAGAAGGGATCACTTTTCCTTACAGTAAAATGTCAATTAGTAAATGCTGAGGGAATGATGGAAGTAGAAAATCACTGTTAGGGAAACATCAAAGCAATAATTATTGCAGTGACTGGGCACGGTGGCTCATGCCTGTAATCCCAGCACTTTGGGAGGCTGAGGTATGTATCCAGATCGCCTGAGGTCAGGAGTTTGAGACCAGCCTGGCCAACATGGTGAAACCCCATTTCTACTAAAAAATACAAAAATCAGCTGGATGTGGTGGTGGGCGCCTATAATTCCAACTACTCCAGAGGGTGAGGCAGAAGAACCGCTTGAACCTGGGAGGCGGAGGTTGCAGTGAGCCGAGATCGCGACATTGCACACCAGCCTGGGTAACAAGAGTGAAACTCCTCTCAATAAAATAAAAGATAATAATTACTGCAGCAAGAATCACTGATGGATCCTAATATTAGTGGACAAAAGTATGATGAATACTAGGATGTCTATCTTCCCAGTCTCAAAGCATATCCCTAAAAGATATTTTTTAATTACAAAAGGAAAAACAGTAACTTCAGAGTTGAGAAACCTGGAAGACACTACCTTAGCCAAGTGACTGAGGTTGACACCACCTGTAATAAGACTTATCAATAGCAGGTACCTCAAGTGCTGCATTTTCATAAGGGTACAGCATTGCTTATGTGGTATTCTTGCCAAAAATACATACACTCAATCTCATCATGAGAAAATCATAAACAAACTAAAATTAAAAAACAATTCTACAGAAAAACTGGTTGGTATTCTTTGAACTGTCAAGCTCATAAAAGACGAAGAAAGACTGAGAAACCCTCACAGATTGGAGGAGACTAAGGAGACACAACACTGCATGTAATGGGGGATCCTGGCTTGGATTCGGTAATGCAAAAAGGATATCAGTGGGACAGTTGGACAAATTTCAGTAAGGTCTGTAGATTAGTTAATAGTATTATCACCAAATTAATTTCCTGGTTTTGATAATTAGACTATGATTACTTAGGCTGTTAACATTAGGAGAAACTGAGTGAAAGATATACAGAAACTCTATGCATTTTTTTTTTTTTTGCCTACAAGAGAACTATTTTATTTGCTCTTTAGTTGACATGTAATAATTGTACATATTTATGGGGTACAGTGTGATATTCTGATACGTGTATGCAATGTGTAATGATCAAATTAGAGTAATTAGCATGCTAATCACCTCAAACATGTATAATTTCTTTGTGTTGGGTCTCTGCACTATTTTTACATTATCTTTGGAAGTCTAAAATTATTTCAAAATAAAAGGTTTACAAAAGCTAAGGTCACGGTGTGTAACAGATGAGATGAGAATGTGAAAAAGGGGTTTGTTACACAGGAAGACTCCAAGAATAATTCAGGAGGATGGTGGCAGTTGGGGTAGAGATAAATGAATAGCTTCTCAAGCTATTCTGAGGATAACATTGAAAAGGGTTGGCTACTAAATGAATTTGGAATGGGAAAATGAGAGAAAAATGTCAATGATTCCCTAGTTCTGAGAAAAAAGGAGGCTACATTAGCAGCTTTTGAAAAGCCAGAAAGAGGAGAGTAAAGATGAGTGATTTTAGAAAGCTGGATCTGAAGAACTAGTCAGGGATCTGGGCATGTCTGCCAAGGAAGCATTTACAAATGTGAAACTAGAGCTCAAAAACATTTTCAGGAATTAGCAGTTTGGGGGTAAAGAGTCACCAAAATGTAGTCAGGAGAACTAGAACCAAATCGGGTTTGATGCCACAGCCTATGACTTTAACGCTGACGCCACGGCAGAGTATGAGGATGGAAAAAAGACCAGGAACAAAATCTTAGTGAACAGTTATATTAGAAGAAGAGAGGAGCAGCCAGAGAAGTGGGGAATGACATTAACAGTTTACTATTGGCCAGGTGCGGTGGCTGTAATTCCAGCACTGTGGGAGGCTGAGGCGGGCAGATCACCTGAGGTCAGGAGTTCAAGACCAGCCTGACCAACATGGTGAAGCCCCATCTCTACTAAAAATACAAAAATTAGCTGGGTGTGGTGGTGGGCGCCTGTAATCCCACCTACTTGGGAGGCTGAGGCAGGAGAATTGTTTGAACCCGGGATGTGGAGGCTGCAGTGAGCTGAGAATGTGCCACTGCACTCCAGTCTGGGAGACAGAGCCAGGCTCTGCCTCAAAAAAAAAAAAAAAAGAGTTTTNTTTGTACTATTGCCAATACTATGAAGGGGCTCAGAGAGATGAGGAAGGAGACAAAGCTGCTTTATTTGGTGACTGGCAGTCATTAGTGACTTTCAAAAGAGTAGCTTGGTAGAATATAGGGAGGTTGGGCTATTTTCTTTTTTACGGATACTATTTATTAGGCACTGTATAAGATTAAGAGACTTTACTTCTTTTAAAAAGGCTTTATCTCTTTTAATCCTTACACTGACTCGTCTAATACCCTTTTTATAGAGGAAAAGTGAGACTGAGAGAGGTTAAGTGACTTGTACAAGCCCTCATATGAATTAAGTATGGACACGGGCTTTGACCTGGTTGTGTTTGATGCTAAAGCTTACCATTTTAATGACCTGCCTTCCTTCCCATTCACGGAAGCCAGAATGCAAGTGGTTAAGGAGTAATAAGGAGGTGAATGTGGCCATTATAGAGGACTCTTTTTTTTTTTAATTTTTTATTTTTTTATGTATTTTTTTTATAGAGGACTCTTAGGACAGGTTTGGTAAATGTGAAAGGGAAGAGATGGGATGCTGCTTCTGGTTAGCAAGGGAGAAGAAAATTTCTTTTTTAGGTTAGGTAGGTTTCTACATTCATAAGTTTGTAGAAACTGAGAAAAAAGGTAGTGTGAATTTAGAAAAAGAATGAAATAACGTGAGAGAATGAGCAACACAGTGGGTTAAGAGTGTAAAGGTTGGAGACAATTGCTTTGGAAAGGAAGGTAAGTACCTCCTTCTCTAAGGCAAAGCAGAGGTGAGTGGAGGTAAGAACTGATAGAGTTTTGAGATACAGGCACCTCAAGATGAGCTTGGTCATACTGATGAAGAGCACGAGAGGCATGATAGGATCTTGAAAGAAGTGCATATGATTTACATATCTGCTCTGGGGAAAACAATGAAAGATGAAGAAAAGGATGGCTTGGCAGTTTAAGGGCTGAGCAGCAGGGACGACCCAGCTGAGATCTGAATATGAAGTGACAGCAATAATAAGAAGGGCCAGATACCGTGGTTCATACTTGTAATCCTAGCACTTTGGGAGGCCACAGTGGGAGGATCTCTTGACCCAAGGAGTTTTAGCAAACCTTGGTGCAATAGAGCAAGATCCTGTCTCTACAAAATAGGAAAAAAATACAGCTGAGTGTGGTGGCGTGTACCTATACTCCTGGCTACTAGGGAGGCTGAAGACTGCAGTGAGCTATGATCATGCTACTGCACTCTGGCCTAGTCAAGAGAGCAAGACTTTGTCTCTAAAACGAAAATAGTAATGAGGCCTGGTTATTGTTTCTAGAGGGGTCCATTCAAATGAATGGGATGTTACAGGTGGACAATCACTGTGCTACAGTAAACTTCTAAGGCTCCAGGATGTCATGGAGAGGCCTACATCTCAGTTCCTAAAGGAGTAGGAGGAGTCCCACTTTCTTCCCTGGTAACAGCACTGGACATCTCAGAATGAAGTCATACATATGACTTATATTTCACTGTGAAACCACTAACATCCTCAGTTTGTTTTCAGGACTGAAACAAATACTATGAGGCCAAAACTTTTTTCCCAGAGGCCTACATTTGTAAGACCAGCATTTTTCTTTTCACTAATATTGTGAAATCGAGTTCTTTTTATACATAAAGCAAATATATTTTGGAAATGTTTTCAGAGAACTGAACAGCACTAACAGAAGCACTTTGAGGTGCCCTTGGTCAGTCTGAGTATAAACAGGGAGAATCATCTCCTCCCCATATCTCTAGAGTGGTGGTCTGCAAGGACAGGATAAGGGTGTCTGATCCTGTGCTCATCTCCATGGCTAAGTTTTCTTCTCTACACAGTCTGCAGCTGTCATTCAGTCCAGATCTGCCATTGCAGTCTCCTTACTGCCTCACTTCTTCCTCTCTTTGTTAAAAAGAGGCTTCTTCTGAGCTCAGAAGAACATTTCTGGGCTGTCAGGTAGAAATTTCTTGTGGTTACTGATAAATGCAGTTTCCCAAGTACCTCTTAAAGGTTTTAGAACTGTGTGCTCCTGCAAGATGGATGGCAGTGGCCCTGCACATATGCAGAGCCAGCACTCTCTCTATCTGCTCTCCATCAAGGTTGGATATACTCTCCCCAGACTCATGAGGTAACATGGAGAAAGGAAAGACAATGCACTGAAAAGAAAGAAAAAGGGAAGAAAAGCAGAGTACCTTAGCCCGTTTCTTGCACAGCAGCACCACAATGCTCAGGTAGCCTGCTGCTGCAGCATATCCCAGCGGAGTCAGGCCACTTTCAGAAGAGGCATCCACGTTGGCCCCGAACTCCAGTAGCAGGGCTACCATTTCTGTGTAACCAAGATGGGACTGAACACATAGAATTGGAGCATTATTTAAAACCTCTGTCCGGTAATTAATATTGGCACCTCCCAAAATCAGCAGTCGGCTGACCTAGAAATAAATAAACGGAACTAATAATTAGACAAATAGGAGTCACATCCTTTCAGTCATCTTTCATTAAACCATCTAAGATTCTACAACAGTGTCTAGTAGCATTTAGTAATTGCTTTATTTTATAACCTCATTTGTTCCTTTTTCTTTTCCTTTGGCAGATAATGTAAAATATCTCCTTTACATACACAGTATAGTAGCTAGAGCAATTGCCTCCCATACTGCAGTGCTGAACATTGTCTCTATGAAGTGAGCTCTTGGTCAGAAAAGCTCCTACCAAGACCAAGGCTACCTGAGATCAGTTTATTCTCTGGAACCAGTAGGAGCTGATCCCATATGTCAGAGTCAGCTTATAGAAGGTAAGAGGACAATGGAGCTAGTCTCTAATTTATAGAATAAAATTTAACAATTTAAAATATATTATCAATAAAAGGCTAATAATAAGAGAGAGACTAAGGCAAGTCCAAAATCAACTACATAGCTACTTACTGTCCTTCTAGTTTTATTTTTTCACAGTTAATTCTTCATAATATTTATAATTTCTTTACACTTGTACCTTTATATTTGGAGTATACAGATTTCGTAAAGATGCCAGTGCCATGGAAAGACCTTCTGTGCTATAGGAGATCCAGAGACCTTGGAGGATGGAGGATGATACACCAACTTTTTTACTCAAACCCTGAATAAGAAATACAATTAAATTATTAGCCCAGAAAAAAAAAATAGCATCAGTGGTAAATTAGTGGCCTCTTTGGTACTAATGAATGAGAGTAGAGTCTCACCCTAACAACGTTCATGCCAGGCAAAGTCTAGGCTGGGGGACAAAGATCAGTCCTGCAGGAACAAGCTGACTTAAATGGTCTCTATCTCTGCAATCCTTAGCAACGCATCTACTTAACACTTCTCTTTTCTTTTATATCTGGATAGAATTTATTTTTCCATATCTTTTTTATTAGCCTTCTTCAATAAATCTCTTAAATTCAAGTTACTAAATTACACAGTGTGGCAGAAATAATGCAACGTGATCACTGATTTCCATTTCATTTTCTTCCTGAACATTTGGAAAAACTCTATTTCCCAGCCTCCTTTACAGTTAGGGAGGCCATGTGACTGAATTCTGGTGAATAAAATTAGCCTAAGTACTATGTCATGTCCAGGCTTGGCTCCAAAACTTCCTGCATTATTTCTCCACACCTTCTATTGTTCCTTTTGATTGCAGGCCAGATGTAGAATATCCGAAGGAGAATTCTGAGGCCCAAGGTGATTTTATTTTATTTATTAATTGTTTTTATAGAGACAGGGTTTCTCCATGTTGGTCAGGCTGGTCTCGAACTCCCAACCTCAGGTGATCCACCTGCCTCTGCCTCCCAAAGTGCTGGGATTATAGGAGTGAACCACCACGCCCGGCTGGCCCAAGGTGATTTTTAAAACTACTACATGGAAGGAGCCTGCCCAGAGATCTGCACTGTTCTGCAATGTAAGGAGAAAGAAGTCTTTGTTAAGTCATTGAGATTTTGCAGGTTGTCACAGCAGCTAGTGTTCTTCACCCTAACTAAGATACCCCAAAATGATTACATATGTTTATCCTGAGGAAAAAAATAGCAATACAGGCTTGACTGCCATTCACAACAAATTTTCTCCTAGTATCACTGGCACAGGTCCCACGACGTGTACTAAAGTTTGTCCATATCACATGGGCTTCTCCAGAAGGAAGTTAGAATAATTTGTTCTTCAGATCTTCTAATTGTTGGACACTCTCTGACGATCATCTTACTCTTCTGCTAATATGTGGATCAAATCAGTTAAAGAAGGAAATCCTGAGGGCAGGAGGATATTAACAATGGAATTTGGATTGTAATAAGAGATATAGGGAGGTATTTCTTTTAACAACTTAAGCTACTTCTGCTTTCTTTGTCCTTGAAATGTAGAATGTTCTTGCCTAGAATACCTACATGTATCCAAAATCAGCAAGTTGTGTTTATCTGGCAGACTAGGGAAGGGGCACAAAGGAGGAATATGTAAGTTACTTATGGGTTATAAATTCATCTAACAAGACCTCTAGTCATGGTGGTCAATGCCTTCCCATAGAAGGTTCAGGGTCTCTAAAGTGGGTTAGGAAAAAATTTCCTGTAGAGGGAATTCTCACACTAGAGGAAAGGCTGAAAGGTGAATAATGCTGTGGGAAGGCTAGACACATGAACATTTTAAAAGGCTTTTCTGACACAGGCACTTTTTTTCTCCCTGTGGGGTTATTTTGATGCAACCAAAAATTAAATCATTAAACTTTCCCATTAAAAATTTTATTTTCATCCAGGTGCAGTGGTACATGTCTGTAATCCCAGCACTTTGGGAGGTGGTGGTGGGATGATTGCTTGGGCCCAGGAGCTCAAGACCAGGGAAGTATAGGGAGACCACATCTCTACAAAAAATTAAAGTATTAGTCAGGTGTGCTGGTGCATGCCTGTGGTCCTAGCTACTTGGGAAGCTGATGTGGGAGGATTGCTTGAGCGTGGGAGGATGAGGCTGTGGTGAGCAGTGACTGATACTGCACTCCAGCCTGGGCGACACAGAAGAAAAAAAGACTTCTACATTTAAGTTTTAAAATTATAAAAATAATATAAATTTGTTATAAAAATCAAATAAAAATCAAATTTAATATGGTATTAAAAATAAAAGTAGCTTCAACCACCCATCTCAATCCTAAGAGGTGGCTCCTATTAATATATTAGTGTTTATTATTTAAGACATTATATATGGAAAATACAAGTGCATATAAACTATGTAAAATTTATTAAACATTTTTTATTAAGGAAAATTTCAAACCTACTTACAAAAGTAGAGAGGAATAGTATAATAAAGCTCTCATGTACCCATCACCTCCCTTCAATAATTTTTTTTTTTTTTTTTTTTTTTTTT